CCAAGGCATGTTATAATCCGACGATACCTGTAAATCAGGAGACAATTCTTTCATCCTCCTTTTGATTTTCTATTTGATTTAAGAAACACATTCATCTATGAGTATGCAACCTTTGGCAAGAAACCACAATGTGATACCGAAAGAGTCGAGGGTTAGAAGACTACTCAACTGCAAGTCGTTACTTACCACTCTATGCCTTCTACGTTGCTCTTCCGTTCTATAGTAGAGTCTCGAACACGCAAAGCAGCTACCCTTTCCAAGCAACATTCGAGAATATCACCTAGAATATGGTAGCTTACACAGGAAGACATCCTCTCCTACAAGATTAGCTTACCGAGTTTCTCTGATTTCTGCGTAGGCGAAGGTGTAGAGGGGTTGCCTAAACAGTTAATCTAAGTAAGACACAAAGAGCAACGAAAATTATCCTTCCCTTACCTTTCCCAGTTCCGCTAACAATATTTTTCTCTATTTCTCCAACATAAAGGATGGCTAGCTCAGCAGCTTTTTCATAGCAAAACAAGGCCTTCATCTTATCCGTAGCTTTGTCGTTGCCTTCTAATGCTTCCATACAGAAACCTAGATTTGTGAAGTAAGAAGAAAACAAATGTCAAGTTGTCGACAAATCAAATGATTCATGGCTAAAAAAAAGAAAAACTCAGTAGCAAGTAAAGTGTCGGGTTCTGGGAAATAGGAACCTGCGCTAGAAGTAAACAGAAAGAGAGCAAACCTTTGATAGCATAGACCTCAGCGACTAATCGTAAAGCTCGCAGCGTTCGAAACTGCGTGTTGGCAAGCTCCATTCCAGAGTTTTCAATATCTCTGAGTGCCTGAATCACAAAGGATGATTCAACAATGACGACAACTCTATCCAGTAAACAACATTCACACTATACATCAGATGGGACTTTTTGAGAATCATAGAGGATGCTCTTTTACAGATATGCAGTTGCAGATTAGATCACAGAAATAATAAATGAGATGTTATCGACCATTCCAAAACTATGTTCTAAACTCTGTGTCATGCACCCATCGAA